TCAGAGTGAGACACTTCAGGAGTTGAGGCCAGTAAAAGTGACCACTTAACAGTCAGAATTCTTGTCCTACTCTGTGGTCCAAGTGACAATTTGATTAATTAGAAGTTTTGTTCAAATGTTGACAAAAGAAGAAGAGAAAAGAAAACAGGCAAAGAGAGTGAAATAAAACAATATGATAGGGAAAAACATTTCAGTGTCTGTGTCAGTATATAGATGTATTTGTTAATCAGCATCAAAGCTAGTTTATGCTTCTGTTGTGTCGTTGTGGGTGTCAGTGAATCACTACAACAGTGTCTGTGTACAAGTATATCAGTGTTGGTATATCAATGTAACAGTGTGTGAGAGTGTCATTATATAAAAGTGGCAGTATGTCAGTGTATCAGAGAGTCAGTGTATTAGTGTATTAGTTTATAGGTGTATTATAGTGTCAGTATATCAGTGTTTCCGCATGACAGTACAACATTGTGTCAGAGTGTGAGTCTATCAGCATACAGTATCAGTACATCAATAAATCAGTACAGTGGCAGTATACCTAGCATATTTGTTTATTAAGTGCTGTACTCACTGTCTGGCTCTCCTCTTGGCTCTGTCCTTGGTGTGCTCACATTTTCATACGCATCCTGTGTTGGACTCTGTAGCCCAATGTACTCTTTATACGTGTCCATTGATCAGACTGTGTGATCCGGGTCCTGGTGAGGCTGATAAACACTGAGTCCGACTGAGTCTCTGACAGGTCAGAGTCAAACTGAATGGCCGGACAATAAAAGGGAACTCATCAACTCCTCCTTCCTTTCCCTATTCCTCATTTCCCCCTTCTCTTTGAGATAGGCTGGCACAGCCTGAGACAGAGGAACATCTCCAGACACACTAGACTGAGAGGGAGAGGGACAGAGAGACACCATCACACTCACAGAGGCACAGAGTGAGAGAGGCAGAGAGACAGCAGGAGAAAGACAGTGTCTGCCAAATCTCTGTGTCCGTTCAGGCAGTCAGAACACCTCTTCAACTTCTCACTATCAACTGAGCACAAAAATGCCATCTATGCTATTTCTAATTGCTCAATTTAAAATCTAAACGAGAAATACTGCTTGATAACAAACACAGATGATAAAATGAAATCACAATAAACCTAATTTCTTACTTATTTTCATACTTTAAAAGAGGTGTAAAGCCAACACTGTCAGTAACCCAGTCCATGCTCGTTATGAGCAATTAGCATGATTAAATCACCACCTGATAGGTGTAACAGAAGAAGCACATTCCTGATCTATCAGGGAGACTGAGAGACAGTGGGCAAGAAATTCAGGAGCCTGCAGGCCAGCGAGTGACATGAATGAGCTGTCATCCTGGACCAAAATCCAAGATGTCAACCTAAAACTTTGAAACAAGTATTTAAGATGAAGATCATTAAGGAGAAGAGATTAAATTAAGAATTGACCCTATTTTCATTGTAAAACCTGCTCAATCCTTAATTTATGATCTTGTTTTTTTTTTTTTGCTTGAACTTTCTCTGTTCACTAAACCAGATGTCTAATTTGTTTGCACTACAATTTCTGTATTTTCGGGAATACAGATATTAGGTAACGTGTCTATGTATCAAGAAACGTTTTAAAATGTGAGGCCTGTGAAATTGAAGTGTGGATGCGTCTAACTTGTTAATATAAAGAATACAAAACAAATTGTAATAAATTAAAATTAAAAAATTAGGACGCCATATTCCTTGGTCTCTGCAGAATAACTACAGCTCAACTGGGTTCATGCAATCCTGAAAGAAACGGAGAGAGATCATAAGGTAACAGGCTGACTTGATTAACTGGATGATGAATATTTTGCCCAAACAGTTCATTTGGTTGATAATGTTCCTGCCTAAAACCATTTGTGAGACTGAAACCAAATCACCACTGGAAATAGAGAAGTTGAGATGAGCAACACGACAAACAACAAACTGTAGCAACAGAGACCAGAACTGCCATTATCTAGATATATTTCAGGGAGTCAGACTTCACCAAGAGGGTCAGACGACTACAGTAACCTTTTTGCACCTTTGGATCATGTGATATTACCAGTACAAAATATCCAACCGGAGATAAAAGAAACAGACTGATCTTTGTACATTTGGACATGCCCGGGGAGTCTCAAGCAGTGACGCTAACCAAAAGGAGACTATAAAACTGAAATTCACAAACCTCCTCCTTTTCATTTCCTCTGTCAAACAGGTTGTTCTGATATGTCACAGGGTGGCAATGTGACCACTGTTGAGCCTGATCTTTCAGAACTATAAAATCCTGCAGAGCCGAGCCTGGTCGCTGCAAGTTTCTGACAATATGGCTGGACAGAGAGAGAATGCCAGTGTCTTTGTCAGTACACAGCTGTAGCTGCGTGACAGTATACCATTGTATTAGAGTGTCCCTGTATCAGCATTGTACTCACTGGCCGGCTCTCCTCCTGGCTCTTCCTCTGGTCTGCTCTTCAGAGATCCATTCTCCTCCTGAGTGTTTCTCTGTAGCCCAGTATAAATGTCCATAGATCTGACTGTATTAGCAGGGTCCAGTGAGACAGCTGGACAATGGGTCACACTGAGTCTCCGTCAGGTCAGAATGATACTAAATGACAGGACAGCAAACAGGAACTCAGAAACCCCCTCTCTTCCTTACTCTCTCTCTGAATCTAACCCTCTAAGTGATGGTGAGACAGAAGAACACTAACAGTCAAACTAGACTTACGGGGAGGAAGACAGTGAGATAGCATACCACACACAAAATTAAACACACTAAAACTAATGTTTCAACAGAAATGTGAGCACAGCCAAAACCGTCTGTGGGAAGCCCACTCTGAAATCCCAGATTCCACAAGGCAGCAGATGTGGCTCAGTTAGAGATCCCAGCAGTGATCTCAGGATGGTGGAGGAGACTGCAGGACCCGGAGACTCTACCAGGAAACAGTGGCAGAGAGAGCGAGTTTCCTGAACAGCTCTGTGTGGACTATCGCTCACACACAGGGGCTCCTGGGAAGAGTTTGTGCTGTGGACCAGCGAGCAGGAGTTGGGACACATGCAGGAGAGCAGGTATTCAAGCAGCCAGGATCCTTGGATTTCTGGATAGGATCTGTCAAGGGAACTGAGAGACAGCAGACAAGGAATTCAGGAGCCTGCAGGCATTAAAAGGTCATAGAGACATCATGCTGGGACAAAATCCACGATGTGAACCTTAAACTTTGGACAAATAATTATTCAATATGCAGATCATCAAGACAAGAGATGAAGCTAAGAATTTACACTGTTTCCATCACGAGTCTTGATCAACCTTTAAGAAAAATTTTGGACTTGTATTTTATTGCTTGAACTTTTCTCTTTAAGCAAATTGCAGTTCAAATAACTTGCCTTACATATCAGGGAAGGTATTAAAATGTAGAAAACAATTCACCAAATCCATATTTCTTTAAGAAGGTTCCCTGCAGGAAAACTACAGCCCAATCCTGAAAGAAACTGAGATGATGATGAGACAATTCTTTATCTTGACCAATCTTTATCACTCTGTAGCATCAGTAAAAAAGCATCTGACCGTTGTATTAACTGAGAGACAACAGACAAGAAATTTCGACTTATTTATTTCAGTCTTTTATTCATAGCAAACATGAAATCTATGTTTTTGGAAGCATTACATACATTTAAATGAGGGGTTATTATAAACCGCAGGGTTATTTGCAATTTTCAATTTTTGAAAGAGTTACGCATTATGACTCCAGTGAATTGAGAAAGGTGAATCAGGTTCTTTAAGGAAGATTTTATATTGAAATGCGTGTCTGTGGTTTTCGCTGCACTGCTGTGTGAATTCAGAGTTTAAATGCACTGACTCAGTCACTGACACCACAAGCTTATTATTTAAATAATTTACATCACCCTACATCACACTGTTAACCAATACTGTTGCGCATCAATGGTTTTTGATTTCTGTGTCTATTCCTTTGTATTTATCTTGAAGCACTTGTGGTCGGTAATGAACCGAAACACACCAAGCCTGGAGAGGAGAAATCTATGTCAATAGGGACTTTTA